TAATGGTCCCTACCTCTCCGCCATCACAGCATACATGAAGGTTTTCGAAAAGTTTTTCAATAGCATTACAAATTGATTTGCATGCGCAGCTACTTGATTTTGGGGTACTACTTGCCCTATTCTTGTATGAGAACATGATATTCGCATGCTTACTTCATTTTAAGCCGTGCACAAATCTCATATGCTCACCAAGGGTCCAACCATCTTATTATTAGAACAACTAATGTTTTGTCAAAAGTTAACAGCTATGCAATCATAGCTCGACTTTTCGAGGGACCGAGGGCACATAGAGTCGTGATCACACAGATCGGCCCTTTGACAAGAGTAGAGATAATATTGAAAATAGATAAATACTCTAAACTTACTCATGCCATGTTACCTGAATTCTATAACGAATCGCAATTCTGGTTATGCTCTTGAAAAAACACATTAGACATATGTGCCTCCTTTGAGGTGATCTAACAAAATTCCTGCAGTTACAGTAACCTGCCCGAACTTGGGACAGTTGCACTACTTGGTTTTGCAGGTCTTACAATAAGACAATTCGAGTAGCATCATTCTCGAATTACGAAGCGACTGGAACCAAGGGGCAATGATCTTTCTTACGAATAAGTGTTTGTCAATTACATGCAGATACTAAAGCTTTTCAAATACAGCTGAATCTTTGAAAATATTACATGTGCATATCTTTGAGTCATCCACTGATCCACTCAGCCGATTCATCGAGGCTGAGATGGACTCATAAATCAGGAACCAAGTTTCACTCGCATCACTCTTGTGACTGCAACTTTAATATGTGTGTAATGACTGATTTAACGCCTCGAATCACATAAATCAAGTGTTTTCTAAGACTCTGAAATTAGGGAATAACCAACCATTAACCTATTCTCTATGCATGCAATATGTGATTTTTCCATTTTCACATCTATGATCGGCTATCACTTTGCATTCACACACATCGACTGGGTAGATAAAATCATAGAGCCATGACATCTACGCTTTCTCGAGTGGGGTCTAATTGCTATTTACAATCTAGATCTTGATCATAGCACATCATGTTATTCGCCTCCATCTTTCTCAAAAAGTTGTTAATCCGTGATCTTGAGAACACTAATGTAAAGCCTTTTAGGCATACTCGATTTTTGGTAGAACTTCTTCTTATTTTTGCAGAACTTGCAAAATCGCGAGACAAAGATAGCTCCTCTATGACATGAGTGTGTAATCAAGCCACAGTAGCCTCGAACAAATGAGGCACCAATACGCAGTGCATGTCAAGAACGAGTTTCGTTGACAACAATAAGGAATTTCTCGTCAAATGTGTATTGCAACTCTCACTTACGGATACCCCTGGAAGACTGTCAACAGATAAGTGGATGGTTTCCATTCATTGAGCCATGAATCGCAATGGGTTGTTGTATCTATTATACAGGCCAACTGACTTAAAGTTACTATATCGGGGCAGTAGTGGCTCTCACATCTAATGGTCAAGCCCCATTGCAAATCTCTATAACTCTTCAGGAGTCCGTAATAAGTACAAACCCGTGGAAAAGCATGTCATGATCTCTGCAACATCCTTTCATAGCCGTTCTGAGCTAATCAGACCATGGCTTTGACAGTCTTGCTCGTATCGCGGTAAGATCTTTCCACTTCTTACGTTTCACGTCTCGAAATGACTGTTTTTGAAGGGGGCAGAGTCCCTTAATAATATATTATATTCCATGCCATTGCTCTGACTATGATAATTTGTTACTCACTAATTCAACTATAAATGCATGAGTAAGTGTTTTGTCAGGATCAGAGACCAGGTTGGTTAATCATGGTGTCTATGCTCGAGAAACATCCCCATCAGATTAATGTGTCCTTGGTAGTTATCATCGAAGAGTTCAAGAAAATACTCCCTCGACACTAAGGTACACTCAAATGATCCCTTCAACAATGCATCCTCGATCGAGGAGCCAATGTATACATTATCAAGCTCCGAGAGCCTTTACGAGCTTATTAGATGAAGGTACACACTATCTTTCAGCTGACATGTCATTTTTGTATTTGCAATACATGTCTCGGACTAAGTTGCAGGATAAACATACCCCAAGAACTCTGGCGCAACATAAGCAGAGATACGTAACTCTTATAGCTGATCCCTCAAGGATAGCAGCAACATCAAGTTCGCTCTAACCTTAGAGTGTTCATACTTTAAACTCGGGATATAGACCATCGGTCTAATGCACATAGTGGTAGCCCACTCAAGTACTCATGGGAACTGGCGTATCACATATACCCAGTTACACCCAGTTAAACATGACTAGTCATTTGAATGGACATCCTCTTCAGGACCGTTCTCGGTACGGATATCCTCTTCAGGACCGTCCTCGAAAGTGCCATGTATTCAACATCTGGACATTCATTGGGTCATGCTACCCTTAACTGTTACGACTAACAGTCTAAATTCGAGGAGCCCGTACCCAGTCTCCTCGAGGATATCCTCTTCAGGATCGTCCTTAAAAAGGCATTCTCTTCAGGAACGTCTATACAAAGGTATCCTCTTTAGGATCGCCTGCAAAAGAGCCGTGTACTTAACATCCGGCCATTATAAACGCTTCACAAATAACTCACAAGCCGTGTACTCGACATCCGGTATTGAGAAAAGCCTAGATTTTCATGATCATGAACAATTGGTGGACTATCCCTCGAAACTAAACACGTGTTTTATACCTCAATGAGAACTTAGACTTGTTCTCGAGTATGCTCTATTGGATCGATCAACTATATCATCCAATGCAAATGTCTCTATTCTCGATGTTCTCGAGTTTACTTTGCGCCTTGTCAACGCAGGCCTACTTCTTCAAATATGGTGGTTGCCATCTATCCCCTTCTGATAGACACCATTTTATTGCCTTAACCCTACGAGTATGGGGGCTTCATGAGCAGACATCACCTCGAACTGAGCAGCAATAATTACACTCTCATACTATTCTTATCTAAAAAGTCCCGGTGTGCCAAATGCCACCCCAAGACTTGGGGGCTCTGAGATAAGTAATGGTTCCGGGGTTATCTATAACGAGGAACGTTTATATATGAGAGAGTGTAAGGTGTTTGGAAGGTGTGTAAGGTGTCTGGAAGGTGTTTGGGAGGTTGTGTTTTTTTTTCGAGGATCATTAGTGTACGGATCTCTTCCTATGACTATTCTTGGTAGTCTTCACTTAATGCTCCGACTGGGGCATTGTTCCTTCTCACACTAATGCGTAATACCTCCTCGATTCTTGCTCAAGTCTCGAGCAATGATATTATACACCTACTCGGGTTCGACACATCAACCTAATTTATACTTCTCAAACCCGGACTAAGGGTTCCATGCTTTATTTCTCGGGACGTGTGAAATTGCAAGCGGGTCGGTTGGGCAGATATAAAAAAGCTTAAAGGCTTGTATACCTTCTTCAAGGTCAGATAAATTGTAATTCTTGGGATTGGTGTGGAGTCCTACTCAAGAGAATTTTCTAGAATTTCACTACCCAGCATTCACGTAATCGCACGACATCTTCTACGGTGTCTTCTACTTTCTTCTGTCTCTCTCACTATCGAGGATTCATATGGTGATAGTCTCGACTCTCTAAATGATCTACTAAGCTCGAGATGGTCTTCTCGAGCCTTCGGATTATTCTGGGGCAAGTTTTCGACGTACTGACTTAATCCCAGACTGTTCTTTCAAACTTATGCCCGCGACATCGGGTATTCTGTCTTCATTCATTATACTTCTCGATCCACTACCCTGTGATTACTCTCGAGGGTTTGGATTTATTACCTCTCATTCAGAACCATATGTCACAGTTCTCTAGTCAACTCATCATCTCGACAATAAGTATATCTTAGCCGCGGCTAGTGACACACATATTGAGACTAGTGGGAATCTTCACTACGTTTTCTTCTCGATTCTCTCAACAGACGAGCCACCTGATTCGATAATTCATCATGCAAGGCCTTCTCGACTAACGCCAGGGTCAATGACGTGAACTGCAATATTCAAACAGAATCTTCGTTCTGGCAGTTGTGTTTTCGAAAGTTATTGATAAGACATCTCTGTGTTCAGTGTAATGGGAATACCCATCACACTTCTTTATTACCTTCTCGAGCAAGAGGGTACTTGCCTTAGTATCTCTCTGGGGAAGAATGTTAAGACCATCACATATCGACTTCTCACTCAACAGTTTGAACTGACGACTCTTCTTTCTTCACAAATTGACGTACATATCAATCGCCTTTATGACACATACATTCGACAAGGTATGTGCTAATACATTCATTACTTTGATTTCTCCTCGATGCTAAACTTTTGCAGGTTCTCGATTCAAGTCAGTTTTTCCTGAACTTCGGAACAATTTATACTTCATATTATCAAGCCTATCCTATCTTCAACCTTTGAAGTATACGCTTAATAAGGGGCACTTGACGAGTCCAAATAGTACGGCTCATTACTAGGCCAGCCCAAGTTCGGTGAGCGGTCCAACCGGCCCTTGGAAGCTTCTAGGGCGGTTGTCAATTATTTTTCTACCAAGAAAAGGTTCCATAATCTAGCTCTATAAATAGGATCAATCTCTATTATCAAAGGTACGCTTTATGCACCCGATTTACACCGTTATTATAATTACTCTTACTGACTTATGCATTGGAGTGTCTACCTTTGGGAGACCCCGAGGTCCTCTTTTGCAGGTTTTAGGGTTTCTATATCGTCATGGCCGCCGGAGTAACCAACCGTAGACGTTGGGGAAGTTCCATGCTTCGTCATTTGTGCTCTATAAATAGGGATCAAATCTCCACTTTATTTCAAACAATTTCAACACCAAAAACAGGAAATGGAATTGAGTTCCGATCTTTATCATCATAATATCTTGCAGAACCATCAAATGCGAGCAGTTTCGAAGTCATTATAAGCTGGAGCAAATGTAGTATAAATCTTGGACAATCAAATGTGCAGTTAGCGATCAACACATTTTTTTTTAATTTAAATGTCAAACATTTTTTATGCTGATGAGTCTTATGCTGCCGGAGACGGCGGCCGGAGGAGTAGATTCTGCCAGTTGCAGGGAGAGCTGGATATGGATAGAGGGGAGGAACACAGAGAGCTAGGAGGAAGCGCCAACCACCGTCGGCGCCGCCGTAGCTTGAAAGAGTTGAAGGGGACGTGGTGGTAGATGGAAGAGCAGCAAGGAAGGGGCAATGCCGATGTGTCAGCCTGGAAGGGAAGGGGGGGGCAAAAGTCTTGTGGCGGCAGGGGATTCGAGTGGAGTGGGGGGGGGGGAGGGGCGTGGTTGTCCGTAGTGGATCTGGTCCGAATTTGAATGTCGTATCTACGTCCCATAATTTTGTACTTGCAGGCATAACTAATGTCGATGGTAATGAATGGTATTTGGGGTTTGTGTATGGTCATGTAATGGTGGGGAAGCGGTTAGAAGTGTAGAACTACATAGAAGGAGCAATTCTGGATGCCAGTAAGGGGGTTGTGTTAATTAGAGATATTAACCAAAACATAGGGGAGGAGGATAAATGGGGAGGAGGTTGTGGGGAAACCAGGGGTAGGGAATGGCTAAAACATATGTTGAGGAGATTGGGTCTGAGGGAGGTAAGGAGTCAGGGTGTTTGGTGTTCATGGTCCATTGGGAGAGAAGGAGCGGGGGAGGTAAGAGAAAGGCTGGATAGGGATTTTGCGAATGAGGCCTGGGAAGGAATATACCCTCGGGCAATTCTGAATAATCTATCTATTATGAGATCAGACCACGGCCCACTCCTTCTAGATATGTACCCAAATCAAAGTAGGGGCGTCAGGTTGCGGCAGTTTGAGGCCTTTTGGGTCAGATATGAGGCGGCTAGACTGATTGTCAAGAGGTGTTGGCGGGAAAATGGTGACAATACAGTGTTAGGCCTCAATAGGAAATCAAACTCTGTGTTTCGACACCTATGGAACTGGCACAGTCAATCGGTGGGAGCGCCAGACAGGCGAATCATTCAGCTAATGAAAGAGATGGGCAGCAGGACAATGTGCTTCTAGCCCATGAGGTTGTTGAGCATATACGCAGATGGAAGGTAGGAAACACAAACTATATGGCACTTAAACTGGACATGAGTAAGGCTTATGACAGGGTCTCTTGGGATTTCTTGGAAAAGTTTATGGTGCGGATGGGCTTTCCATCGAGGTGGAGGGGGTGGGTGATGCAATGGGTAACTATAGCGACTATGGCAGTGTCTTTCGAGGGGGGGGGGAGGTTTTGTCGGATTTTGGGCCAAACAAGGGGTTAAGACAAGGGTGTCCGACGTCCCCTTTTCCATTTATTATATGTCAGAAAGCACTGTCGGCCCCGCTTAATGGTGGAACATTCATGAGGTTGGCGAAGGGGGTAAGAGTGGCAAAGAAAGCACCAACAATATCTCACTTGATGTTTGCTGATGACTGTGTCATATTCATGGAGAATTCGGTCACCGGAGCAATGGAGTGGCTAGGATTCTCAGAGTCTTTATGGAGTATGTAGGCCAAAGGATCAACTGTTGTAAGTCATCTCTACTTCTAAGTCCAAACACGGATAAAGCTTTGGCGACGTATCTCTCTATAATGTTCAATGTGGATAAACATATGCTAGAAGGGAAGTACCTGGGGTTTTCATTAGATTTTGGAAAAAGGAAGGGGCATGTGTTTAAAGGCCTTGAACAGAGGATAAAGGCAAAGGTCAAGGGTTGGCGAATTGAGGATATTTCAGTATTAGGGCGGGTAGTATTGGCCAAGCACGTATTGGGGGTAATGTCCAATTATACGCTGGGGGCCTTCAGAATCCCAGATGGGTAGCAAATACGATTGACCAATTCCTGGCTATATTCATCTGGAAGGGAGACAAGAATGGAAGATGAATCTACTGGATGTCTTGGATGGATATTTGTAAGTCTAAATGGAGAGGGGGTTTGGGAATGAGAAAGACAGAGGATATGAACCAGGCGCTGCTGGGGAAGTTAGCTTGGAAAATAGGATCTGATGAAGATTCGTTGTTTGCTAGGGCTTTTAAAGGGAAATTTTGCCAGTCAAATGATTTTTGGTCAGTACAGCTGGTGGACTCGGCAACATGGGGATGGAAGAGAATCCTGTGGGGAAGGGATCTCATCAAGTCTCAAGTTCGGTGGAAGGTAGGGAACGGCAAGCGAGTTCAGTTGGATTAGGAATGGATACCAGGAGTGAGGAATCCGGTGGCCACAAGAGAGATGCAAGCATGGGAGCGTAGATTGAGAGTGGCGGACCTTATCAAGGGCCCGATGTTGTGGGATATGCAGTTGATACATGCGTTTTTCCACCAGAGGTTGTTCCTAATATACGTGCAATAAGCCTGGGGGAAACTTTTTTATGCTTGGAAGACAAACCGGTATGGGGGGGGGGGGAACGGGGAGGTTTTCAGTTAGGTTAGCATACCATCTTGCGGTGAACCGAAGAGAGAAAGGTACCCCCACTACGTAGGGAGTCGAGGACAAGGACAGGGAGGACGAAGCCTGGTTTTGAAGGGTGATATGGGGATTGAGGCTACCCCAAAAAGTGACGTTTTTTCTCTAGAGGGTGGTACCAAACGCATGTTCGACAATGAAGGCACTGTGGAGAAGGGGAAATATTACACCCCTATTATGTCCCCGTTGTGGTTTGCAGGAAGAGAAGGGGAGCAGAGCATATGCTTTTGGAATTTATCGAAGCGCAAGTAGTTTGGCGGAGGTCTCGGTTTGGTTTTGACTTTGCCCACACAAACAGTCTCACGTTTAAAGAATGGCTGAAGGGATGGTTTGAGGCCCCCTTGGAGGTCGATAAGGAAGAGTCGACTAGAATACTGTGGGCTATTTGGGTTGCGAGGAATAAGAGGGTATGGCAAGGGGTTAGGTGGGAGCTAGACGAGGTCTTGCAGGAGGCAAAGGAGATTACGGAATCATGTAACACTGTTGCTGGTGGGTCATGCTACACTGGAAATGATGGAAGCGATGGACCGGCTATTGGCAGACTAGAGAGGCATGGGGATTGGGAAATGTTGGAGCTTTGGCTTAAAGATGATGACGCTCGACTCCAGGAGCGAGCACGATCGTGAAGCCTATATACTATTCAGGTCGATGGTGCATTTTGCCAAGGTGTTAAGAAAGGCGCGTACAGCATGGTCGTAAGGGATGGTACATGAAGGATCTTGCTTTTGGCTGCTTTTGATTGTGCTGCTTTGGAGGCAACACAAGTGGAGCTGCTTGGAATATGAGAGGCTATGCGGACTGCGGTAAGGTATGGATGGACAGATGTGTAGATTGTCATTGACAGTGCGGCAGTTGTACAAATGTTACTGGGTAAAGAGAGTACACGCCCATGGTATGGAGGGATAGAGCACGATGTAATAGGCATGGCGACTAGTTGTGATGTGTGTAATGTTAGGAAAGTGCCTAGGGATAGGGTACCGGAGGCCCATAATCTCGCTCAACAATGTACTTCCTGTTGACCTACAATATAATATATTTATATTGTTGCTTTCAAAAAAAAAAAAGAAGCATATTTAATCTTCAAAGTTCCAAGCACGTGAGGTGCACGGCTTACATCAGGTTATTTGCATATGTAATGGGCTTTACATCAGGTTGCAGCAACGATCAAAATGGAAATCTTTTAGTTACCCTATAATCTTTCCACTTAAATTAACTCTGGTGCAAAGCAAAGGGAAGACCGATGGAAAAACTCCACTCCGGAAATGTGGGAAAACTGAAGGGAGGCATTTCCTGATTTCATTTTACTCCCTGATCCTACTACTACTATTTTCTCGATACCATTCTCCGCTCAGATTATTGAGATAGACATTCAATTCATATTTATTCAATTTTATTTTATTTTTTTCCATAAAAATCTAATAATCAACATTTGGATGAATATTGCTTTTTTTCCTTTTTTTTTAAAATTTATTATAGTCAAAGTATGTAAGAGAAAGATTCCAACATCATTGCGCTGTAAAAACAAAAGGGCATCCAGTTGTGTTCATGATATTAACCTATAATCACGAGAGAATACAATTAATCAGAATAAAAATGAATCTTAATTAGACTTCCAACATGTGTGGAAAAAAAAAGGGGAGAAGACTGCCTAGATTTATTTCCTCGTACGAGTATTTCAGCACTTAGGAACGAAAATACAACACACTTAGTTATTAGTGTTATTCAAATGTTAAGACCGACATCCGAGGACATGAATACTACTTAACTTTAAAATTCAAAGTGTTGCACTTTTCAATATGTAACCTTCAACATTTCATAAAAATAGGTTTTGTTTCGGAAACTACTTGATAAAAACTGCTATGTTATTTTATACTTTATAGTACTCGCTCTCGGTTCCAAAAAAAATGGTGCACAAGTTTTTAAATATCAATCAACTTTGTGTCACTGGTATTCACAAGAATAAAAACTTTGTATCTCACAAAATTTGTCCGCAATTCAGAGCAACGGTCGTGCGATTAATGAGTTGAAATGCCCCTTCAAAATTTTCAACCATTTATGCATGCATTGTGCATTTAATTACAAAGATCCTGAGTAATAAACCAAAATCCTCGACAACTTTTGTCCTCTCAAGTTTCGAGTCTATAGATCATCCCATTTTAGTTTATTTACACTTGGATAAATGTGTTGGCTTTTAGGACCGGTAGTGTTAAAAACGATAATCCCGGGATATCCTTTTGGAAAATTGAGTGTTAAAACTTTCAATATGTAAACTTTAACATTTCGTAAAAAACCTTTCCTTTGAAAGCTACTTGATAACTACTGCTCCATTATTAGTATGTATGTTACCTCCTTTAATTTGTCCCAAAAAAACAAAATTTAATTAAATTTTGAGATTTTAAATAAAATTAGCATAAACATCAAAACGGAATATTTTTTCTTAAACAGTGCTAGTATAGCATATATATTAAAAAAAAAAAAAACTTTGTATCCCAGGAAAATTGCTCACGATTCCGGGCAACAATCGTGCAATTAACGAGTTGAAATGCCACATCAAGACATTTCAAACATGGAGCTACAAGGGCCCATTAGAATATGTCAACCTAATTTTTTCGCCAATTCGGTGTTCCGTAAATTAGTGATCAAACCAATCACGAGAAGTTCCTCAAATTAAAGACGAGGTGACGGATGATGCTTCTCCCACCGCATCCATTGGCGCCGTTGCCACCACCGCCACTAACGATATCGTCGGAGAGGCCAATGAGGAAGATGAGAAAGCCGTCGTGGATTTGGCCCCGAGGTCCAGTTCATTTGAAAAAGGGGACACCGTCATGGTTTATAATAAAAAATGTGTAACCCGGATAAAAAATTAACATGTTGATCACGTTGAAAATGGTTGGAGATATTTCGTTCATTATTCTGGCTGGAACGATAATTGGGATAAATGGGTTCCCATTAATCTGCTGATGAAAGAAACAGAAGAGAACCAAAAGAAGCTGATGCCCGCAAGAAAACGACTGAGATGGAAGAGTGATTCTAATGAAAAACAAGATAATTGAATTTAAACATTTTTTTTCAAGGGAAAAAAAATCTCTAAGAGTGCCTTTTGGTTCTCTATTTAGGCGAGTTGAGTTTAAACATATATTGGGAGTTTTCGACGGCATTTTGTTATGTATGAGAGCTTAGATAGATGGCTGAAGATGAATTATGGATTTCTGCTTTGCTTCTGGGTTCTAACTACTTGACAGAAAAAATATAAATAAATCAAACATCTAATCTTAAGTTATCAGTTTTTAGAGCGAAGAAAGTAAGCATTTATGGAATAATAGTCTAAAAATAACAGAATTCACCCTGATTAACAATTATGATGATTTGTGTAGTTTTTCGGTTAATTGAGCGGCAATGATTTTCCCTCACTTTGAATAGCAAACAACTTCTTTGGGGCCCCTTGGAAAAATTGTTATATTGGTTTTCTTCAAGATGCTAATGGTACGATTTCCAAAACTAGAGTATTGTGTATATGTGTTGGATTAGAAGTTTAGAACTCTAGAAGTATAACAAGGACAACTCTTG